GTGAAAAAACAAATAAGAAGGAGAGTGATTTTCACTGATGTGCATTACATCCCATTTCTATAATGTGTCATATATATATATATATATATATATATATATATATATATTATGTACAGTCTATTGTTTAAACAAAACAACTCTGGTTAAAAAAAAGGACTAAACATGTTGATGGTTTATATGATTACTACCCGCAGGAAACCATAGCACATGTATAAAGTTATCCTAAAAGCAAAGGGGCCATCCTGGGGGGCATCAGGCTCATAACTCTTTTCTAGTTGTTAAGCCCCAAAGCCCCCCTCGGCGGGGGCTTTTTTTTTTCTTCTTTTTTACGACACTGTGTCAGGGCATCTTAATATTTAAGAACCTATTAATGTGTTATACCAGATTAACGGGAAGAATCTCAGCTAACTGACGATACAAACCATTTTTACCAAACACAAGTCTCATAAGAAGCATCTAAATGACCCCTGAGCGAAAATGCTAACACACTTTGGCACAGAACTCAAGATAAAAGATACCCTTATTACTTATCGTAGCTGCACATACAAGATATCCGATTAAAGCTGAGGTTCCACAGATTATTTAGGTATATATATCATCACTGAGTGATCCGAACTCTTGATAGGGGAAGCAAACACAGACATCAGAACACGTACCTTTACGTAGCTTTTACGGGAGATCGTCTCACCGTAGCTGTCAATCTGATCAAAAGACTTGTTCAATGGCATTAAAACAAGAAAAAACGCGGCTGAATCGGTTAATCCATAGGTTGATAATGTTTCTGGGTGATCATTTTTTTAATTTATAATCCATAATTCCATTTTTATGTAAAAATCGGAGAGTAAAAGTTAGCTGCTAATGGTAGCCACCAGAGTTATCGCAGCTTCCGGTCTTGGCTATGCGGCAGTCTCACACACACACATGACCAAATAAGGACTATGTGGGAGTTCCCCTCGATTCCATTGGCTCTGACGGTTAGAAAGATATGTCAATCAGCAAAATCGACCAAGGGGGCCAGAGATATGGAAAATCCACCCAAATGACCCCAGAAGTGTTTTTTTTTTGCTAAATCTCTCTAAAAATGTCAAATCTCACTTGTTTTGCATCAATCTTGATACAGCGTACTTATTATATGTTGTACTTTGGATTCCTAAAGCTTTTAGTCTACCATCCCATCATTCAAGGGTGGTTTTCACTATAAGTAATTGTTTTTTTTTGGACNCTGCAGGTAGGATTTCATTGGAAATCTCAAATTTAAAGTTCCACCAACACCTCGTAAAGAAAACTGAATAACCCATAATAGCTCGTTTTCATGCATACAAAAGTCAACATTTAAAAATAACAATTTGCCAAGTAATGGCCAAGTATTACATTTGTCACATGACGAATACGTTTATTTCCCAAACATCAAACTAGTCTTTAAAATGTAGAGCTTTTATCTGAGGTGCGTTGGCTTTAATTATGCTACGATTTTACATTTTGACAGTATTCAAAGTTTCTATTATATGCTTTTCTACTTGAAATGTAGCTGATTTAACTCAACTCATCAGAAACCTGAATTGAATTAACTATGGATAAACAACAGTTTCTGACAGTTTTGACTCACTTACCACATCACAGCTAAAATGATGTTTTCCAACGTCACTGTACTGTGATAAATGTGCTTACTTCCAAGATGAGGTTCACGTCGGTGGTGAGGGCCTGCACTCGGTGGAAGCTGGCGACGAGGCTGAGGGGCAGGAAGCCCTCCTGGTCCATCTTCCTCCGCAGGAAGAAGTCCCGCTCCAGGTTGTCCAGGCTGAAGTAGTACTCACTAAAGGGGGCAGGAGAACAGGGACACAAATCAGCTGTTTGTAGACGACTCCTCACATCTTTCACTTTAAAATGTCCCTGCTTTACGGAAGCACAAGAGAGCAGTAAGGGAAAAATGAGAACCCAGTCAGACCAGGAGCAGAACAAATGAAAAGAGTATTAAAAACATTTTGTGGAAACAGGCATTGCCACATTGAAACAATACCTCCCAAGGAACCCCTAATCAAAAGCAGAATATTTGACAGGATTTCAAAGCCTCCAAGTAACTTGATAGAGATTTAAACTGAAGGGGGCACTGAGTGCACACGAGGAAAATGTTATGCTACTGCAGTTCAGCTGTCTCAACACATGGGGAAGTGTCTACATCTGCCAAACTGACTGCTGACCTGTTGTTGATGGGTAAGGGGTTTCATTTAGAAGGAGACAGTCGTTTTGGAAAATGTTATCTGAGGTTGTATGTAAAATAAGTTAGATTAATCATAACCACCGAGGTTAATAAGCAGCAAGGACCTTTAGAACTTTAAATAACTTCTAGGGCCTTTTTTCTAACTTGACTGAGTTCAAAAAGCTTCCAAAACAGATGATAAGCTTGTATCCTAAACTCTAGTTGGTAAAATGATGTAGCAAAGATTTGGGTTAAGATGATTTAATCTGTCTCACACTACAATAACTCATCAAATAAATATATATGTATAAAGTTTTAAATGTACTTTGATTAGAACAGTGATTGTTCACTTGTTCACAGTTAGATATGGCTTTGTCACGTATCGGTTTGCTTAAATGCTGAGATCAGAGTTGTGAAAGGTTATCTTCATTGATGTTCTTCAGAGAAGAGACATGAAGATCTCATCACTTCATCAGCACGTCTGCAGGTAGGATTTCATTGGAAATCTGCTCTGAAAATCTCAGACTTCAAAAACCTGCTACTACTAAAGAACGTGTTGTTCCCATGTTCAGTGTTTCAGCACTGCCTCTGTCTGACTTCTGTAAGAGAAGGAGCCAAACTTACATCTGCCTCTTGATGTAGTCCTTCAGATGGTCGTGGTCCACGGAGAAAAGGTCGTTGCTGCTCATGTTGTCGTAGTAGTAGGTCACCGTGTTGCCAAACTTCTGGCCGCAGGAACCGTCTTTCATGTCGTAGGACTTGTAGCCGTAATGGTGGTCATAGTGGCCTTGAAAGGACAGAAAAAGACAGATTTAGTAGTGGTCGTTAAATATTTTTTTTAGTTTCCTGAAATATATAACATACAAAATGTCCTGTATTCTGTCTATAAGTGAAAATACCACATGATCACATCACCACATGCAAAAGAATCCTAATGCTGCATGTGGTTCTATTATATTTGAAACGATGTTTAAAAATTCCCTTCAAATGAAACTGATATATTTGGCATTGACTATATTTACTGTATTCTGAGATGCTGTTGCTCGTCCTTAAGGGGACAGGAGGGACGTTAAGCTGGACGTAATGGACAATTACTTTATTTCAAACTACTCAGTTTATTTTTTAAACTTGGCTTCCCTCTTAAAATAAAAAAGGAAGAAGTGCTTTCACCATCTCAGTCTGGAGCTTGGTTTTGTGAAAGAGGAGGCTGAAAATCGAGACCGTTAATAGGAAAATAAAGAAGAGGGAATAGAGTAAGAAAAGACAATGTGTATAAAAAGAGTGAAACACAGCGAGGGAAGAAAACCTGCCAAAACTAACAGGCCTTCGGGGAAACCCGCTTCTGCTGCTGGATCCAACATGCCTCAACTCTTTCCAACACTCACTGCTTGTTATTGCACTTTCTGTTTTCTCTGTACCCTCCGTGGGGCCAGCAAGGGTAGACAACCACCCAGTTTGAGAGCAGAGTCAGCCAAAACATTACCAAAACAGAATATGTCAGGTTTAAAATACATTGATTGATGCTGATACATTGATGCTACTCTCATGTCTGTGTGCTATGAAGCTTTAGTCTTCAGTAGGTGAAATGTGTGAATACACATTGCAGCTTGTTTGTTTTATCCAGGGAAGTTATTGCCCTTCAGCTGCACAGCATGTACCAGTTATAGCTTCCCAAAGCCACAACTTGTTGTTTCATATCTTTAACCATTCAAAAGCAACAGTGTCATGTGTCTGATTGCAAGAAACTGTGATGGTCCTACTAAACATTTTTTCTTACCAGTAAGATATTAACATATTAACCCCACTGTTTGTAGGGAATTACAATACCATTCATTATGACTGCTGAACAATACAACTTCAGGGCTGTAATTGATTGAACTTATTGTAGCCATTAATCCACCAATTATTTCCTATATTAATAATTAGTTTTATTTGACATCCAAATCTCCATATTTGAGAGACCGAAAACAATTATTATTATTTTTTTAATCAGGCCAGAGAGTGCCTTTATTTGTAGATGCAGCATTGAAAGGGGGGACAGAGGGGGGGGACAGTGCTTGATGATCTGCAGACCTGGCAGTCTGAGCACTAATCACTGAGCTATCCTGTGGCTATGAAAACGTACTTGCTTAAATGCTGAGATCAGAGTTGTGAAGAGTATCTTCATTGATGTTTAGTCAGAGAAGAGACATGAAGATCTCATCATCTCTACAGCACGCCTGAAGGCTACATTTGACCCATACATCTCCAAATGAGGTAAGAGACATTTTTATTTGATTATGTTTAACAAAAATAGCCATAAGCTAACTACTAAGATTATGCGTATATGACTTTTCATCCTGTGTGTCAGTTCGTACAAACCTTATCCATCTTACCTTATCTCACTCTACATTCTTAATGTTTGAGTGTCAACATCAAAATGACACATTCTTTATCATTTGTTACACTGTCGAGTAACTAAAATGGTACTAAAGAAAGTCTCTACTCCTAACCAACGCACACAAAATGAGGAAATTCTAACCTCCACATTTATATAAAAAAAAAGAGAAAAAAAGAAAGAAAGTTACTTTTTTTACATCTATTGTTGTATTACTCAGTTCTATTTAACATTTGTTTCTATAAGTATGAAGAAAAACCCCCACACATACCTCTTCCTCTGCCTCTCCCCCGGCCTCTCCCTCTTCCACGTCCTCGACCTCTGAACCCTCCTCGGAAAGGTGCTCCCTCGCTCTTCACGCTGGACACCTCGTCGTGGTCGTCACGCCACTCCCGCTCGTACTTTTGACTGTGCCAGTCTGCAGGGAAACAAACAGCCTTTAGCACAAACACAGCAGCAGAGTAGAACAAAACCACTGTCAAATCGTTTTGGCAGAATTGTCTGCATAACTATTGCTGATTTTGATCAAAAGAAGGTTACTTTTAACTTGAAATCTTGCATATCAAGATAGAATCTCCTCTATGCTACACACACACTTCCTTTCCTTGATAAATGTACATTTAAAGAGCAGGGTTATCAAAGCAGAAGCAGATCGGTCCACATCCTGCTGCTGAGTCATGCACACCGTCTCAACCAGCTAAAGCAGTAATGTCTCCGATAGATCAAGCAGATGCAGTTATACCGACATATCCTGTACAACCAATTTAAATCTGCTGTCACAAGTCAAACAGTAAAACTAGAGTCAATATCTCCTGGCATTTAAATCTTCGTGTTGAACCAGCTAGGTAAGGTTATTTCAGTTGTATTGGTTTGCTTAAATGCTGAGATCAGAGTTGTGAAAGGTTATCTTCATTGATGTTCTTCAGAGAATGAAGACGACATGAAAGATCTCATCACTTCATCAGCACGTTCTGCAGGTAGGAATTTCATTGGAAATCTCAAATTTAAAGTTCCACCAACACCTCGTAAAGAAAACTGAATAACCCATAATAGCTCGTTTTCATGCATACAAAAGTCAAAATTTAAAAATAACAATTTGCCAAGTAACATTTGAAAACCTTCGAATCAGACTTTGGAGTTTAATTTTTTACTTCAGGCTCACAGATTGTCATATCAAAAAAGTTATTTAAACTAAAGCCTGGCTCAATATAAGTATATTATTTTTGTAATAATCAAAATCAAACACTACATATTGCTTCACCGCTGTTCCTCAGACTTTTTTTAAAAAGGGACAAAGAAAAAAACCCAAATGCTCTCACAATGTAGAGCAGAAAATGTTCCATCTTCTTTACATGTTGGGGCCGTCCACTTCTCGTTGATGGTAAAATAAAACCGTAGACCCTAACCGTGACAGTAAATAATAAATCGTAGGTTAACCGCGCAGAAGGAGCTCACCTTGATGGTGGCGTACTCGGGATCGCACGTGTCGTCCCACAGGTCCCGCTCGTAGTAGAAGAGCCCGTCGTTGATCACTTTTCCGAGCTCGCAGGTCAGCTTGGAGCGCGAGGTGTGGTGTCCCGTGCGGTCGCCCCCCGGGTGTTTCCTCAGGTAGGGCGGCGTCTGAGTCACGATCAGGATCTTGTTGACGTCTTGGTCGTCGATCTCGCCGTCCGTATCATCGTCCGACCAATCGGTGAAGGTGTTGCGCCGTCCGTCAATCTGCTCCATCTCCTCGTCGAACATGAAGTCCAGCTCCTCCGGTTCGTCCGGCTCCGCTCCGTCCTGATCACAGATAAACATTTAGAGAGACATTGTTGGAAGCCAATTACATGCTTTGACTTTTTGATCACCATATTGGATTACTTTCAAGATGTAAAATAGTGTATTAGCTAACAGAATAAGATGATTTGAAATGACAAATACACAGTGCAAACTGAAAGACTTAATCGTCAGAATTGATCCTCAGAAAATCCCAAAAAACAAATAAATATGATAATCAATTAGTCAATAAGAAAAATATTTTGAACATTTCAAATGTGAGGATTTACTGCTTTTCTCCAATGTTGCTCTTGCTAATTGAATAACTGAGCATTTAAACTGTTGTTCAGATAACTTATCAATGTATCGCAATTACCACAATAAAAGACTGATCGAGGAAAATAATAAAAGTGAGGACGAAACTATTAGTTGCAGAACTTCTGTTTTTAGAGGAATGATGATCAAGAAGCGTATTCACCTTAGTTCCTGTGGTGGCGGGGGAGGGCGAGGAGCCGGGCTGAGGCAGCAGGCAGCGCACCAAGTCCTCCTTTTCCTTCGGCTGCTGCAACGAGGGGGCCTGCATCAGTGAATCAACACCGAGCACACAGGAAGAGGAGAGAGCAGGCATGTGAAGACGTGAATGGATGGGGAAATAATACCAGCATGACAAGTTAAATATACCATGAGGAAAAGGTTAACTCATAATTGGTAGTTTTCTAAAAATCATGAAAAAACTTTTAAAAAATAAGAGAAGAAAAGGATAAATTGTGTTGAATGTTTATTGAGGTGGTTAAAAAAAGTCTGAATGAGAAAATGGAATTGATTTGCTGGGTAAACAATGCTCAATGGCTATATGCCAGCATTAGTGTGTTTCTTTCTTTAAAAAAACTTTAAATTATCTATTTCTTTTGAGGAAAAGTAGACTATTCAATTTGCACCAATATTAAAACAATCAGAACTAAATAATGACTTCTTGACATGTTTTTAAATGTTAAGATTTCTTTATATTTCTGCAACATATCTGCTCAAATCATCAGTGTTTTAAATCAGGATTTACAATAAATTCTGTCAAGTTTTAAATGTACTGTGATTAGAGCAGTGTTTGTTCACTTGATCAAAGTTAGATATGGCAATTTGTTTAATTGGTTTGCTTAAATGCTGAGATCAGAGTTGTGAAAGGTTATCTTCATTGATGTTCTTCAGAGAAGAGACATGAAGATCTCATCACTTCATCAGCATGTCTGCAGGTAGGATTTGATCTGCTCCGATAATCTCACAAATGTAATGTTTCACCAACACCTTGTGAAGCACACTGAATAACCCATAATAGCTTGTTTTCATGCATACAAAAGCCAAAGTGTAAAAATAACAATTTGCCAAGTAATGGCCAAGTATTAAATTAGTCGCATGTCGAATACGTTTATTTCCCAAAAATCAAACTAGTATTTAAAATGTAGAGCTTTTATCTGAGGTGCGTTAGTTTTGAATTATACTACGTTTTTACATTTGACAGAATTGATTTTAAATCCTGATCATTTGAGCAGATTTGTTGCATATAGAAAACAAAGATTGTTAGTTTAAATTAACACTACCAGATCAGAGATAGGTGTGTCAGATGGGATAATACAATATTTACAGTGAGCTGTACAAGTGACGTGAAAACCTTTAAACTATCTATTTCTTTTGAGAAAAAGCAGACCGTTTTAATATTGGTGCAAATTGAATTATCAGAACTAAATGATGACTTCTTGACATGTTTAAAAAAGAAATGGATTTCTTTATAAAGTTAATAGGCACTTTTTTGTGACATTACAAACAAGTTTTTGCTGGCAAGTGGCCAAAAAGCATTATGGTCAATGTGAAACCAAACAATGGAAACTTGGATGGAACAATGTTATGAGTGAATGAGGCGGACCCTCACCTTCTCTGCGCTGGCCTTGGGTCTGGCTGGGGAGGGTCTGGGCCTCTTCTTGACCTCGATCCAGCACTCGGAGTCCAGGTCGGGGAGGCTGGCGGAGAGGCCCTTGGGCATCGTCTTGAGGTTGGAGGTGTCTAAATCAGTCTTGCTGTGTTTCCTCACCGGTGTTGAGGACCTGGGAGAGCCTGCAGCACACAGAACATTTCATATGATTACTTCAAGTGTTTATATTTTTGTTGCTTAAAAACAAATACTTTACTGACTTGATTTCAGATTGAGGCAAATGTTAAAGCAGAAATCGGAAAAACTAAACTTGAATTTTCTATTTTAATCCAAATTTTCAGTTTCATTATAAGAGTTTAAGAGTAGATCAGACAGCTCACCTCTGGGCTCATCAGCCATCTGTCCTCCGGATAAATCCGGCGCATTTGATGAGATGGGAGAAATCTGTTTGGGGTTGGTTGAGCGACAGCATGGCCAAGTCCCGGGAGGGGCCACTGCCTCTGGGTCCACCTTCCGACGGATCTTCCCGTCAATTATCTCCACTTCCCTGGACACTGCCCTTTAAAGCCTGTTAGGAGAGACGATGGTCCAAGTTAGTCTAGCATTAAACAACAGAGATACGGTACCGCATGAAGGATCGATTGTATGTCAAAGGATATGAAGTGAACTACGTTTGTGTTCAGTGCCGTCTCAAGCATGACTCAACATTTTCATAAATGCATTAAGGACATAACATTCTTCTTTCATAAGAAAATCCTTTAATGTTCCCACCAAACACTCGTAAAGAACAGTGGATAACCATAATAGCTTGTTTTTCATGCACACAAAAGCCAAAAGTGTAAAAATAACAATTCCCCAAGTAATGGCCAAGTATTAGAAATTGTCAACATGTCAATAAGTTTATTTACAAATATCAAACTAGTCTTTAAATGTAGAGCATTTTATCTGAGGTGCATTGGGTTTCGATGATACTAACGTTTTTTAACTTTGACCGAGTTCAAAAAGCTTCAAAACAGATGATAAGGCTTGTACCACTGAACTCTAGTTGGTAAAATGATGTAAGCAACAAGATGTGGTTAAGAGGATTTACATCTTTTTCACACTACAACAAAACTCATCAAATAAATATATAATGTATAAAGTTTTGAAAATGTACTGTTGATTAGAGCAGTGTTTGTTCACAGTTAGATATGGCTTTGTCCACATATTGTTGCTTAAATGCTGAGATCAGAAGTTGGTGAAAGGTTATCTTCATTGATGTTCCTTCAGAGGAAGAGACAGCTGAAGATCTCAATCACTTCATCAGCACGTCTGCAGGTAGATTTCATTGGAAATCTCAATTTAAAGTCACACCAACACATCGTAAAGAAAACCTGAATAACCCCATATAGCCTTCGTTTTCATGCATACCAACACCAGTCAACAATTCTAAAATAACCAATTTGCCAAGTAATGGCCCAAGTATTACATTTGTCACAATGGCGAATACGTTTATCTTCCGCAAACATCCAAATAGCTCTTTAAAATGTAGAGCTTTTATCTGAGGTGCATTGGCTTTAATTATGCTACGTTTACATTTTGACAGTATTCAAAAGTTTCTATTATCATGCTTTTCTACTTGAAATGTAGCTGATTAACTCAACTCATCAGAAACGGTGAATTGAATTAACTATGGATAAACACAGTTTCTGACAGTTGACTCACCTTACCACCATCACAGCTAAAATGATGTTTTCCAACGTCACTGTACTGTGATAAATGTGCTTACTTCCAGCCTGAGGTTCACGTCGGTGGTGGGGCCTGCCTCGGGTGGAAGTGGAGACGAGGCCGAGGGGCAGGAAGCCTCCTGGTCCATCCCTTTCCTCCGCAGGAAGACATCCCGCCGCCAGGTTGTCCAGCGCTGAAGTAGTACTCACTAAAGGGGGCCCAGGAGACAGGGACACAAATCAGCCTGTTTCGTAACGACTCCTCACATCTTTCACACTTTAAAATGCTCCCTGCTTTACGGAAGCACAAGAGAGCATAACGGGAAAAATGAGAACCAGTCAGACCAGGAGCAGAACAAATGAAAGAGTATTAATAAACATTTTGTGGAAACAGGCCATTGCCACATTGAAACAATACCTCCAATGGAACCCCTAATCAAAAGCAGAAATAAATTTGACAGGATTTCAGAACGCCTCCCAAGTAACTTGATAGAGATTTAAAACTGAAGGGGGCACTGAGTGCACACGAGGAAAATTGTTCAGTGCTACTGCCAGTTCACGCTCTCAACACATGGGGAAGTGTCTACATCTGCCAAACTGACTGCTGACGTGTTGTTGATGGGTAAGGGGTTGTCATTTAGAGAGACAGTCGTCGTTTGGAAAAATGTTATCCTGAGGTTGTATGGTAAAATAAGATTGAGTTAACCATCACCACCGAGGTTAATAAGCAACACAGGACCTTTCTAGAAATTTAAATAGACTTCTGGGCCTTTTTCTCTAACATTGACTGAGTCTCAAAAAGCCTTTCCAAACAGATGATACCAGCTTGCATCCCTAAACTCTAGTTGGTAAAATGATGTAGACGCAAAGATTGGTGGGTTAAGATGTTTCACATCTGTCTCACACTGACAATGAACTCATCAAATAAGATATATACTGTACTAAGAGTTTTAATGTACTCTTGATTAGAACAGTGATTTTCACTTGTTCACCAGTCTAGAAATATAGGCTTCGTCAGTATCGTTTTCGGTTTGCTTAATGCTGAGATCAGAGTGTGAAAGCGTTATCGTTCATTGATGTTCTTGCAGAGAAGAGACATGAAGCATTCCATCAC